ACATTTATTATTTGAAAATCAAAAAATATTGCCAGAACAACAAAGCTTTATTAGAAAAGCTAATTATAAAAAAAATTTATAAATTCTCCATGCGTAAAAATAAGAGAAAATAGCGGTAAGAAGCTTTTATTTTTTTTTTTACAATTATATTTTATAATTGTTGTACAAATTTCTAAATATCTGCAGTTTCATATGCCTTTCATGTAATCGATGCGATCGGTAAATTATCACATGACCAAAAATACAGCAATTTTATTGGCCTAAGTACGAAAAAAAATCACATAATTTGGTAACAAAAATTGATCAACCTATTTATTAGGTTAACCCTCGATCTCTTTTTTATTTTTATTTTTATTTTATATCTATATATATATATATCCCATAGTTCCTAATGTCACTTAAGCAATATCAAAGAGAATTTATAGAATACTCCATCGCTCAAAATATTCTGAGTTTTGGTTCATATACATTAAAGTCTGGCCGTAAAAGTCCATATTTTTTCAATACAGGCAAATTCAACACGGGAGAATCTATATCAAAAATTGGTAAATTCTATGCGGAAGCCATAGAATCATTCCACGAATTAGTTTATGATGGGATATTTGGTCCGGCATATAAAGGAATACCTTTGGCGACCTCAACAGTTATAGCATTATCAGAAATCTTCAATAAAAATATACCATGTTCCTTTAATAGAAAAGAAATCAAAGATCATGGTGAAGGTGGTAATATTATTGGATCTTTGAGTGGAAAAATATTAATTATTGATGATGTTATTACGGCTGGTACCGCCATTAGAGAAAGCATTGAAATTATTACAAAAAATGGAGCTAAGGTTGCTGGAGTTATTGTGGCCGTGGATAGACAAGAGAGAGGTACTGGTGAAAAATCCGCCGTACAACAAATTGAAGAAACGTATGGTGTTCCTGTTAAATCGATCGTTAATTTGGAACAAATAATTAAATATTTTAAAGAAAAAGAAGGTTGTGATGAGCATTTAACAAAAATGGAAGAATATAAGGCCTTATATGGAATTAATTCCTGAAATTAAAAATCTGATTGACCTTTTTAATTTCGTTCTTTGAAAAAATTTATTAGAAAAAGTTAACAAAATTACAAGGAATGCCTTTTAATCTACAAGATAAATTCCAAGCTCATTTCTCATTTCATCAATATTTTTATTCCAATGTTCTTCGTAATAAACATTCAACAAAAATTTACATTGAGATCCACATTGTAGAGCCCAAGGAACATATTTTTTAAACAATCTCTCTCTTTCCTTTGAAGAAAGTTTTAAAGGACCAAAAATAGAACTCAATAAAGTCATAGGCATTCCAGTTTGAGCAAGTTCAAACCATTTTAATGCCAATTCACCTTCAACATTAGCGGGTAATTTGGTCAAAGCATGGAAAAAGTCATGACATTCTCGGTACCTTTGCATAACATAAGCTAATTCATCATCATAAATATATTGTACTTTAACTCTTGTATCTGGTGTTACATTTTGTCCATCTAAGAAATTTGTGTATTCTTTACCAAATGTACCTAATGGTAAAGAACTTAAATATGGTATGTCTATCGTACTTGAATGGATTCGTGGACGTTCCCGTAGAATCCTTCGTCCCGTTTTGTCTCGTAACATGTGATCTCTCATTCTATTGATAAATATCGATCCTGTTGTTTCTCCCAATGTCGCTATCATGTCTATTCAAATATTCAAAGAAGCTTAATCATTTATGATGATAGATAAAAAGAATTACTTGTTTTATATGTAACTTACCTCCTCTACCGGGATCACAAAATGCTGTTAATGCTGATGAAACTGCAAGTATACACTTTTCCAAATTTGATATTTGTGAATTGGTACTTGATGTGTAATTCGTTCGTATTGGAATTACCTCCGAATTCTTGTTATCTAAAATTAAAAAAAAATTGTCAAATCATTCATCAAACTTTAATCCATAAAGAATTTTTAAACTTTACCTCTATGTAAATTACTTTGTAATATATTACGAGATAAATTAGCCAGTAAGAATTTTCTCGTATGAATTTGTGTTGATAACGAAGAAGCTCGAAACATTTTTTTATTTATTTTTTACTTTGCGAAAAATAAAATTAATCATGTGAGATAAAGTCAGACAGCTCGCACCGGCATAGATCTAATTTTGGTAATCACATTAGTAATTATTCATATACTTTTTTTATAAAAAAAAATTTCCGGCATATTCTACGCCACATCCACAAATTTTGAAAAAAACTTTTATTGTCGATGATGATTTCCCTTTTCTAGTTCTCACATTTCATGCCTAAATCACGTAGAACCTATAGAAAATTTGAGTAATACATGATGTAACAAGGATGGGAAATTAAACGATTAATTTAAGATTGATGAATTAACCGGTGTAATAAACGCCCATCCCTAAGATGCATAAACACAAAATAAAAAAAGGAAATCATTATGAAAATTAAGGAGACCTTTTTTGATGATGAACACGGAGAATCTAAATCGGAATTAATAATTTTATTGCATAAAAACACCATACCTTTAACCGTATTAGTACCCTAACCCATTTAATATTTCATTTTTTTAACCCTTAATTTTTGAACCTGCATACAGTTTTTTTATTTGTGCTTGGTAATTTGAAATTATGTATATAAATATATCTTGATTTATACTTTCCCCCCTTTTTTTGAGTAAACTTTTTGTAGTTACGATAAAATATTTAATATTCAATTTAATGAATCAAAAATGTCACGAGAAGATAATCAAATAACACAACAACCGCAAGAAGGTCTTGCGGGTGAGGGTACAGAAGCTTCAGAAGGATCTCACAGGATTTTAATCAATGATCCAATACCAACAAATCGACCAATTCCGAAACGCCATCAATCGGCTGCATCACCAAGGTTGCTTCGACGCAAATCTGCTTATAAAGATGATTCAAGTTATGATGACGATGATGGTGATGATTACCATTCTGAGGGTTCGAGGAGACGTAATAAGAGAAACAAGAGAAAAAGTTTGAGAAAACGTCATTCGCATCGACGTGCAGATGATGACGTTGACGAAAATCTAGATGATAACGAAGACGATGAGAACGAATCTGATCATGAACTTACTCTTAAAGATAGACAAGAAGTAATTTAATGTTTGACGAGTGTTCATTTACCTTTTAACTTTCATCGACGTAACACAACTCTAAATCATATTTATTTAATATTAGGCTATTAATATTACGCATCCATTCGGTCTGCGATTGTGGAAACCTGCATTGTATAAGAAGCTACGTACTGTGACACGTAACGCGGATTCAGCACTTCATTCTACACCTTCACCGGGTCTATACCTTAGTTTTGGTAATATTCTTTGGGCAATATGTTTCGGATGGTGGTTAGCGTTAACGACATATATGATTTCATTTATAATGTTGGAGTCATTTGGAGGTTCGAAATACGCAAGGGTATTTCGAGAATTAAGTTATTATATATTTTGGCCATTTGGTAAATTTGTTGAAAAGATTGATGAAAATGGTGAAGAACAGAATGAAGATCAAACCGACTATTTTAATCGACGAGATTCTAATGACATGGAAATCGAAGATAATGAGGACAGACCTTTATTGGGAAGAAGTCTTAATATTAATTCACGTAGAAATAGTCACTCGGAGAAATTTAATTTCTTTGAAAAATTAGATGAAATTGGTCTGTTCGGTGTCATCTTTTATTTCTGGTTCTTCCTAGTCATAGGTAAGTTCACACGTTAGGGATTCATGTAACGCGCAAATAATTACCATATCACTAAATTATTATTTATATATTCCAGCGCCATTATATTTACTTGTTTCAGCGATATGTTGGTTTTCGGTATTTTCAATTCCAATGGCAAGATTAATATATGTATTACTTGGACATTTAAGAAAACACCCATTATCATTACATTTCAGATCAGGATCAGCATCTAAAACATCATCAAAATCAGAAATATTATTATGTACGGACAAAGCATTAGGATCACAATATTACAAGTATACATATGATGGGATTAATATATTCTTTATTAATTTAATGTCTATAGTATTTTTTGTCATGATAGATGATTATTTTCTTGTAGAAATATTTTCACCAGAGAAATATTTTTTTACCACCCCAGTATTTATCTTTATTTTATCATTAATATCAGTTATACCTTTAAGTTATTTTATTGGTATGGCTGTGGCTTCTATTTCAGCTCAATCATCCATTGGTATGGGAGCTGTCATTAATGCTACTTTTGGAAGCATTATTGAAATACTTTTATACGCGATTGCTTTAGAGAAAGGACAAGGTAAATTGATGGAAGGTAGTATCATTGGAAGTTTCATGGCTGGCGTTCTCTTAATGCCTGGCGTTAGTATGATTAGCGGTGGTTTAAAAAGAAAGGAGCAAAGGTTTAATGCTAAAAGCGCAGGTAACACATTTAGTGTAGTGTGTATCTTATATTTCTTTAAAAAAAAAAGGTCGATTTATTAACTTTTTTCCTTAAAAAAAATAGGCGTGACATCAACTATGCTGATTATGGCTATCATTGGTACACTTACTCCAACCTTGTTCTTTCAGACATATGCTCCTGTAAGAATTAATGATTATTGCTTCCTTTTTTTTTAAAAAAAAAAACAATAATATGATATTTACTTAAATTACATATATGTTCTTATTTATTTATAGTATAGAATGACTTGTGAACCTTGTAACGGAAATACTGAATCAATGGTTGGTTCTTGTCAGGTTTGTACACACTCTGTGGTTGAACCTACCGAAACTTCAATATACAAAGAACGCGTCAAGCCATTAATGTATTTTTGTGCTATAATTCTCGTATTGGTAAGCAAATCTCATAATCAATCAACTAATTAATTAATTATTTATTTATTCAAGAGGGCTTTTTTAACACAATTTTCGCATTTTTAAGTCATACTTAATTGGATTGTGGTTTACATTACGAACACATGCCGCATTGGTTTATCAAACGCATGCAACAAATCCGCAATCCATTTATCAACGTTTAGTCCCAATTAACATTATCCAACAATTTCTTCCACATTCCATATCACATTCACAAACATCAAATCATCCTCATCCACAAAATCAAAGTTCATTACCAATACCATTATCATTACAAAGACCAATGTCGGTACCAAATATTGGTAATCGTCATGGTGATGTAAATGAAAATACAATACATTTAGCAAATAGCTTACAAAATGCAGCATCACAACACATTAGTTTTATTAGACATCCTCATGAACATGAAGAAGAAGAAGAAATTGGTGGTCATGATTCTCCTAATTGGGGTAAAGTTAAAAGTGGAATTGTACTATTAAGTTGTACCGCTTTCTATTCTTTGATCGCAGGTAATGATTGTAACTATGTTGATTTATATTTGCATGTCAAAAAACAATGTTGGGAATCAATAATAACGAATTTTCCTTTTCCCTTTTTTTTTTTTAAAAGAAATCCTGGTTAATAATGTTAGCGTAGTTTTAGATAATGTTTCCATATCAGAAAAGATGTTGGGGTTAACTTTATTTGCTTTAGTACCAAACGTAACTGAATTTCTTAATGCAATGTCATTTGCTTTATATGGAAATATTGCTCTTAGGTAAACTCAAATGATTTTCTTGCTTTTTAACCTTAACAAACAATTGATTTTTAACGAGTCTTTATTTCATAAAATTTTAGTATGGAAATCGGATCAGCTTATGCGATACAAGTATGTCTTCTACAAATTCCAGCCATGGTAGCAATTTCTGCTTGGCTTAATCAAGATAAATCTGATGAACAACAAAGGGGTCACACATTCACGTAAGCGTTTATTTATTAATGTTTAGTTTCAAAGTTTTTTTTTTAACTTTCTCATTTAAAATTTCCTCTTCCTTTTCTATTCAGATTGGTATTTCCTAGATGGGATGTATTTTCTGTGGTTTTCTCAGTATTTTTATTAACTTACACATATATAGAAGGAAAGTCTAATTATTTCAAAGGATCTATATTAATTTTGTCTTATTT